GCCCTCGGCCCGCGCCCCTCCCCCCACGCCGGCGGCGCGCCCCCGTGCCCCGCGGGCACGCGCGGCGGCGCTCGGGCGTGTGCGAGGCGTGAGGTGGAGATGGGGGCGGAGGGAGCCGGAGCTGTCACAGGCCCCGCGTCCGCCTGAGCGAGCCAAGTGGGGTGTCATGGCCGCGGGGGGCAGCGGCTGCACTTCCTCTGCTGGCAGCGGCGGCTGGGGAGTTAGTCCTCGACGCACGGGTCGGTGTGTGCGGATTTGTGTTTGGCTTGCGCGCGGCGGGGAGGCGGGGGGTGGGAAGCCGGGCGGGGGTCACCCTCCTCCCCTCCGCTGAGCCCCGGCGGCCGGCGACCCGGCGCGCTTCCCCGGGCGGCGGGAGCGTGGACGGAGGGCGCCCGGGAGGGGCCGGGCGGCGAGCTGCACCTCTCACACTGTGTTTTGTCTGTTTTCTCTCCCAAGGTCCCGTTTCCCTCTGTGCGGCGGCCGGCGGGACCATAAGGGCTTAACTCACATATTTAACCCCCCTCCAAAAAGTAAGTGGCCCGTGTGGTGTCTGCTCCACCCGCCGCCCCCACGCCTCTGTCCATCCTTGTGTCTGACTCTAATGTCCCCAGCATTGTTATTTCCCCGTCTCGGCTTCGGTGCGGCTGATGTGTGGGGAAATGCCCTCTCGTCGTCCTGTCCCCCACGCCCAGTCCTCGGGGAGGCCCGGAATTCCAGCCCCCCATGTCGATGGGGCGCGTTCTAGGGAATCAGGTCTTCCTCAGACGGACCTGGGAGAATCTGTCGGTCCGCTTGGGCCCCGGGTCCCCTCTTTCCCGACGGGGTTTTCGTTGGAAGGAATTATGCAAATCCTGCTTTCTGGTGTCCATTCAGCGGCAATTTCATGCGGTGAGAAGTTCTCTTTGTTGTGCGAGGGGGAGAACAGACACTGATTTAATAGACATATCTGTTGGGGGGGGAGGGTGGAGGGGGTGTGGAGAGCCTCAGTTTGGAAGAATTACAGCACTTGGTTAGCTCAGTCTTTGTGTTTGAGCCTTCTGGCTTGACAGGAGGATCTGCCCTTTACAATGTCCCATAAGGGATGTTTTTTGTAATAGATGAAAAAGCAAAACTAAAACTTTAAACAAGTGAAAAATAAGGTAACCTTTACTTAGCGAAAATGAGCACTGCCATTTTTGCAGTATTTCATTATGAAAATGTGTATTGCGAATTTATTAAAGACTTACACTGTAATACCAAATGTAATCAATGCGGGCAACAATGCGGTAAGATATTCGATACCACTTTGGTTGTCCAAAGGTTAAAAGTATATATTTTTAAATGTATACTTGAGTAAATAATAAAGATCTGAGCAATTTTTTGGAAGGGGTGATGTACCTTTTGAATACAGGTTAAAATTTCCCTCTTGCCAGTCCAGTCCCTGCCCTGCCCTCCAGGAAGCAGGCTTTTTGGCTCTAGCTGTCTTTGCTCTCTTCTGCTTGTTTTGTTTTTCATGACCTGTCACACATTTGCTACAATGTGACATGGGCTTAAGCACTTAGGAATTATGTTATTTGTCATCGTCAAGTAAAAGTGTACATGGCAGGTTTTGGAAACATCAAATTGAGGCGTTTTTTCTGGATTCTTAGTTAATACAAAAGACTGAAACTATTTAGAAGGGTTTTTAGTTTTTTGTAGTGTTTTACTTTTAGTGATTGATTGTGTCCTGGGAGGCATTTTCGTGTTTAAAATACTGTGGAATTGAGAAATGAAACCCTGTAAATTTCTCGTGTGGATATAGCTTTTGTTTAAATTATTTCAATGCTGTTTGCTTTAAAATCCTTGTGTTCTGTGGCCTCCCCTTTCTTTTCATTAATTGTATTAGTGGTTGATAACTGCTTCTAGACAAGATGTTTTGTTTTGTGCCTAATAAAATCCTCTTGTAAACACCCCAGTTGACTCTCAAAGTCAGATGAATTCTTTGGAGAATATTTTTGAGTTGGTGATTGATTTTTCTGAGAGTATATTTGGAACTCGAGATTTCCATTTTTAGGTGGTGGTCGGGAGCTTTTAGAATCCCAACTACAGATGGTATTTTAAGTACTAATACTTATCGATAATTGCTCAGCTAAAGTCACTTGGGCATTATATTTTCTCTTTTGTTATATGTAATTTTGCTCTCTAAGGGGAGTATTTTAAGTGGTACTATGAGATTTGTGTTATGAAGGACTGGCAGACTAGTTTAAAAGGAACTATGCTCTGTTTGCTCTCAGAGGCAATAGTTTTTATTTTACTGGGATTGGTTCTATGTAGGTAATCTTCTGATTCTCTTGGTTGATTATCTTAATATTCTAGGGGTGTTCGGTTTCTAAGTGAAACTTAATTTATAGCAGTCTTTGGGTTAAAAATGAAGTTTCAGTCATGTCCAGGATTTAATTTTCCTTTTTACTGTTTTGGCAAGGAGGGAGTAAGGGGCCAGTGGTGTGTGAAGATAAGTTTAGTTGAGTCAGTATAGATTGAGTATCTCCTCAAAGTGCTTGAGGTCAAAAAGTGTTTGAGATTTCTGTGTTTTTGAAATTTTGGAATGTTTGCAAGGATTTTACTGACTGAGCGTCCATAATCTAAAAACCTGAAATCCCAGCTGCTCCAAACCCAAACCATTTTGAGCACTTTGGATTAGAACAGACCGTATACTGAGTTCAGACAGTGAATTTGGAAGTGGATGCTTGTTTACTTTGGCCGTCACTGAGGGAGTTCACCCAGGTTCCAGGCAATCCCTTCACTCTGTCTGCTGTGATACTGCCTGTTGGTTGGCTGCACTTAATCTTACTGTATTCTCAAGCTCTTCCTAGAATGGGAGAAGGTGTGATTTTAGCTAGTTCTAGTTTGGCTAAAAAAGAACGAGGATAAATTCTTTGATTCATGGAAAAGTATTTCAAGTGACTCTGATTCTGTCAAATGTGTTTATAGCTACAACAATTCTAGAAATATTTGATATAATGAGTTAAACAGGATAGCCTTGAATTTTTGAATAGTGAGAATTGATTATTTCGTGTCTATGGGCACTTCTGAGTGAGTGCCGGTCTAGTCCCTTAGCACCTAGAGTTTTGTGCTGTTACTAGGAATGAAGGGCAAAGGTAAGTGATTAATTCACTTAAGTATGTACTGAGAAAACTGCCTTTAAAAAAAAAAAACAGACATTGTGCACAAAAATTGAAGGGGGGCTGCTCTGAATTTCAGGAGCTTTTAGTGAAATTTAGCTGGCGGTGCTGTGCTTGCCCGTAATATTAGCACTTGGGAAGCAGAGGCAGTCAGATGGATCTCCCAGATTGAGGACAGTCTGGTATAAAGAATACCTGCCTTTTTCATTTTGATTTGTGTTTTATTTCTTGAGTCAGGGTTTCACTAGGTAGGTCTTACTGTCCTGGAATTCAGGTTGCTCTCAAACTCAGAGACTCACCTGCCTTGATCCTGGTGTGCTGGAATTAAAGTTGTGACTGGCCACACCTAGCCCTAAAGCTGTTATTTTTGTTATGAGACAGGTTTTCATATAACCTAGGCTAGTTTCAGACTCACTACGTTACCAAGGCTAGTCTTAAATATCTGATTCTCTTTGCTTCAATTTTCCAAGTGCTGTGATTGCAGTTGTGTGCCACCACACCCACCTTTTTATTTATCTATTATTTACTTTCAAGTTAAACTTATCACTCCTATACATCTTATAACTTGTCTGCAAATACCCTCCCACAGGCCCCGCCCCCTTTTTCCTGTTCCATGTACTTGCACATTGCTTTGGGCATAATTCCATTATAAACCCTTAGCTCATTTTCATGTGTTGACATAGGAAGGTACCCCAAGTTCATGTCCTGAGATTTTAAACTGAAATAGAAATCCCATGCAATAAGTTCACTATTTATTTATTTATTGAGACAGGATCTCATGTAGTCCAGGCTAGTCTCAAAGTCTGTAGCCTCAAAGTCCTAATCCTGCCTCTAGCTCTAGAAAGTCAGGCTTATTGATGTGTGCTTATGGCAAAATTCACCTTTCTCAAAATGTACAGTTTCTGTTTTCTAACTATTCACAAAGTTGTGTACATACCACCATTAATTCCAAAATATTTTCATTTCCATAAAGAAACTCCATGCTTGTAGGCAGTCATCCCAGCTCTTCTTTGGCTTCCCTTTTGGAAGCTTCTAATCTGCTCTCTGTTTCTGTGGGTTTGCAAGTCATACAGTTGAAGTCATGTTTTCTATGGCCTTTATATCTGACTTCTTTTATATACCCTAGAGCTTTTAAGTTTTATCTGGGTTGTAACATGCATCCACAGTTGTATTCCTTTTATGGCCAAACAATAATGCTACCTTATAAGGACAATCTACATTTTGTGTGGTCATTTAGCATGTTTTTTGTTTTTGTTTTTGGCTGTTACTGTTCTAGTACTATGAGAATTTGTGTACAAGTTTTTCTGTGAATATGCATTTTTAGTTTTCATGAGTATGCACATAGGTGTAATCGATGGCTCATATGGTAACTATGCTTTAACTTGTTGAGTTTACCAACTTCTGCCTACCTCCCTAATATAAGGATTAAAGATGGTACTACTAGGCCTGGCTCATGCTTTAAAGATTTATTTATTTATTTTATTTATGAGTACACTGTAGCTGTCTTCAGACACACCAGAAGAGGGCATCCAATCTCATTACGGATGGTTGTGAGCCACCATGTGGTTGCTGGGATTTGAACTCAGGACCTCTGGAAGAGCAGTCAGTGCTCTTAACCGCTGAGCCATCTCTCCAGCCCCTGGCTCATGCTTTAAAATTTTAAGATTTTTTTTTATTTTTATTTTATGAAACCAGAACTCTGACTATTTAAATAGTTTATGGGAAATTATGATGATGTTTTTCTGCTAAACTGTTCTTAAATGATTAAAAATTTTGTTGTAACTTAGTTTCTCTGATGAGAAAAAAATTATATACTTTTATTGTATGAATATAGGTGTTTTACCTGCATATATGTCTGCATCATGTGTGTACAGTGCCCATGGAAAGGAGAAGAGAGTGCCAAGACCATACTTGGTCTCAAACCCAGGTTCTTTGAAAGAGCAGCCAGTGTTCTCAACCACCGAGCTCTCTCTTCAGCTCCCAGTTTCTCTGATGTTTTAATTAGGTAGCTACAAAGTGCCAGGGGAAATACTGTTCTGTTGTGCTACACATATATAGTGAGACCTTGTCTCGTGTGTGCAGCACCACAGTTTTTGAGCTTCTAGCAGTCTTCCTGTCTTACCCTCTGGAATGCTGGGGTTTAGTAAGGACCCCTCAGTGCACGTGTTCAGCTCACAGTGAGGCCTTGAAGGTGGACTCGAGCATTGGATGAGGTATGCAGCAGAGTTCGACAGTCCAGATCCTTTGCTTAGTGGATTGTGAGGAGCAAGTTAGAAAGGCTAGATAGTAGTGATTGACAGCTTCTAATGATTTTTGTCTTGTTTTTATTTCCTTTGTCTCACATTTCATCTATTTTGTTGAAGAGAATTACCCACCTAGTAGCTCACAAG